AAGTATATGTAAATACATATTTTTTCAGTGCTGGAGATGAACCCAGGACCGCATATATGCTAGGCAAGTACTCTACTTCTGAGCTATAGTTCAGCCCTTATTTATTTATTTATTTATTTACATTTGTGTATGAATGCAGGCGTACCTCAGCACCAGTGTGGAGATCAGAGGATAACTTTTGGAAATCCATTTTCACTTTCTACCTTGTAGAAAAAGAGTCTCTCTTATTTATTTATTTATTTATTTAGAGACAAGATCTTCACTGTGTATTCTTGGCTATCCTAGGCCTCACAGAGATCCACCTGCTTCAGTCTTCTGAGTGCAGGGATTACAGGCATGTGCCAAGCTGGCAGGGTCTGTACTGTAGGCTCCAGGCTAACAGGCCTAGCAAGCTGCCACTGACTCTCCTGTCATATCCCCTCTCGCTGTAGAGTGCTGGGATTACAGCCTCCATCTGATTTTGGCTTTTTATGTGGGTTCTAGGGATGAAGTTCAGATAATCAGGCTTGAGTCACAAATAATTTTTACCTGCTGAGCCATCTTCTCAAGCATGAATTTTATTCTCTCTCTCTCTCTCTCTCTCTCTCTCTCTCTCTCTCTCTCTCACACACACACACACACACACACACACACACAGAGCACACACACACACAGAGCACACACACACACAGAGAATTCACATACTCTGCCGTATCCCCAGCCCATTCATGACTCTGAGATACAAGTGGCTTTAACTGTCTGGATGGCCGTTGATGCACAGCCCTGATGTAGACGTGATCCTTACTATTGGACATCCGTGTTTATTCTTTTGTGCGTAAAATACCTGTGCTATATTTTGCATGATCTTCTTTTTTTAATAGATCTTTATTTCCCTTAAATGATAGCATTTGAATCGAGATTCTGATGATTTTAAACTATAAAAAATTTTATATATATGAATGCTCATCTGCTTGGTTTACTTAAAAAGGGGTGACCTGAGTAGGTTTATGCAGATCACTGAAGGGTTCCATAGGACAGTGAGGCTGGAGCCTATCTGGGGGGCAACTTTCAACAAAACCTGTTATCCCAGCTGTTCAGGTGACTGGATCAGGAAGATCACAAATTCAAGGCCTGCCTGAGCTACAAAATAAGGGTAAGGCTAGCCTGGGCAACATTGTGAGGCCCTGTCTCTGTGCATGCATGTGTGTGTATATGTGTGTAAGAGAGATTTTTCAAGGCAGGGTTTCTCTGTGTTGCACTGGCTGTCCTGAAACTCTCTCTGTAGACCAGACCAGGCTGGCCTTGAACTCATTCAGAGATCTACCTGTCTCTGTCTCCTAAGTGGAGGCCCTGTCTTTAAAAAAGTAGAAAGAAAGAAAAAAATCAGTGTGTTGGGATAAAAAAGGAAGGAAAGAAGGAAGGAAGGAAAGAAAGAAGGAAGGAAGGAAGGAAGGGAGGGAGGGAGGGGGGGGAGGGAGGGAGGGAGGAAGGAAGAAAGAAAGGAAGGAAAAGACAGACACCTTTTCTGTGATATGCTGTCTGAGCACTCCCTGGAAGACTATACTCTCCTTTGAGGGTTGAGGCTATGGGCTGTCAACAGAGAGTGAAATATGAAAGGAGCCTTTGTCTTGGCCTGGAGGAGGGTGAGGGGCTCAATGTGGCCTGAAAAGTGGACTCTGTGGTCCCTTCTTCATCAGTTTAGAGCCCTCACCAGAATGTACACACTTGATGGCCCTAGTCCTTCTGGGAGGTCCTGTGTTATTGAGTCTTTTAATCTCTGTGGAGTTCAGGGACATGCCTGGCTGGACCAAAAGGATGATGCAGAAATTTTCATCTATTAGTTTTGCAAGTGTGATATTCATGCTGCAGCTGCTGATGGTGGGGGCAGTCTCAGAGGTGATGGTGTCCAGAGAACAATATGCTGAAAATGGTGGTGATGACGGTGATGATGTCAGTGATGATGCTGTTGGCAGAGACAATGGCTTGCATGGTGTTAGGGGTCCCAAGATGGCTTGAGGTGGCTCATAGGTGGACATTTTAATCTTAGTACTTATGACTTTGTATTAATTTGTCCTAGTTCAATATATCAAAAACCAAATAATACACCAAAGCCATGATTTATGCAAGTGATAGAAAGCTTTGTTTTTAAAGTCAGGCAAGGTGACACAATTCTAGCACTTTAGAAATGAGGCAGGAGGATTAAGAGTTAGATAACATTCTTGGTTATAGGCCAGCCTGGACTACAGAAGACCTCTCAAAGACACAGTTCTGTTTTGTTTTTAAAGAGAGTTTTAATTTGGTTTATTTAGAGTGTAAATCCACTGAGTTGATTTAGAACATTATAACAGTGTTAACACTTGGAGACACGAGCAATGACTGAGGTCTACTGGCTGCATCTCTGACCGTCCAATAGCACTATTGTCTATCTTTTAGAGCACAGAGCAGGAACTTAGCATTTTATACACCGGAGAGCACTCATGTGTTGCCAAGCCATAGAGCTGGAACCTGAACACAATGCTCAAGTTAGGAGAAAACTATTTTAAATGCTCCCGGAGACATGCACTTTCCATAACTGAGCAGGTGACGTCACAGACTGGACACACCCTGCTTCTTCTTGCTGCTTCTACTCCATTAGTCTTTTCTTGTCATTTGTTAGTTTTACCTGTTCTTGGATTTTCTATTAATGGAATCACCCAGCTTGTAGCCTTCTGAATTTACCTGCCCCGGCCTGCGGGGATTCGACGAGACCTTAGGGAAGGGGACGAAAGAATGAAGGGACAGGAGACACAAGGAGTGAGAGCAAGTCTGGGGTTCTGATCAAGCTCTGAAACTTTAATTTCGGGTGCAGGTTATAAAGACACAGCAAACCGGGAAGTTTGGGTGAGGGTCATTGCTTAGGGCTATCCCATCATTGAATGCTTATTGCCCTAGACCATCCCACTGTTACATCCTTATTGCCCTAGACCATCCCATTGTCATAACCGGCTCCCAGGAAATGCCAGACGTTCTTTAAGTTCCTGGGGCCTGAGACCCGTGAACGTCCTTTCTTAACCTTGCACTGACTAGGCTTTCCAGAACAGCAGGTAACTTCCTAGGTTCTCTTAGGACAGCAGGTAGTTTCCTGGGTTTGGCTCCCGGCATCTGCTCCCTTTTAAAAATTTTGAATGAGGCTGGCAGGAGAATGCAGACATTAAGAAATCTCTTCGGCAGATGAGTGGGCATTGACCAGAGGGGGAAAGTATTGACCTGATCCTCCCAGTATGGTATTTTGTCTAGAGACTGTCTATTCTCTATTCGTGACTGTATAATATTTTGATGCATGGTCAAACAGTAGTTGATTGATACGATCTACCAAGATGGGTACATGTGTTGTACAAAGCATACAATTTTAACCTTGAGGATCTGCTGCCACCCACATATACCTGTACGTCACAGAGTAAATAGGACTTTCAGAGAGCTGGAGACTGGGGAGGGTATAAAACACACAAAGCCACAGTGACTGAGAGAGCGGCTTTTCTGAGACTGAGTGGCCTTGAGGGTGGGGAGTTCTGATGGTGAATTTTAACCTCGGCCTCTCTAGTTAATCTGACTTTCATAACAGCCCTGGCTGTTATGGTGAGACAGCCCATCTGTTGTCATGTGACAGGTTAAGGAACCAACAGGGACCCAGGATGCTGATTCTGAGCCTAAGGGTGCCACACTGGGCACTGCCTGCTAGAGGAAGTCTTTTGTAAGAACACACCCAACCCTGTGGCCTTGAGGCATAAAGCATATAGGTTAGGAGGGGCCGTCCATGCTGGGGGATGTTGTCTAAACACACAGCAAGGATGGTCAAGTCAGCAAGAGCCATTGGTTCCTTTGTCTGGCCCTCTGCAGGACAGGGCCACGTGAGCAGGCTGGAGGTGAGGAGCCCGAGGGTTGACGGAGGACCTCAGGATACGGAGGACCTCAGGATACGTTTGCTCTAGAGCTCAGATGCCCTGTGAGGTCCTGGGGTTCTCCCACTCTGAGGCTGTTTCTTTCTTCTGGGAGACTGCTACTGGCCAGCATGGCAGCTCCTGTCTGAATGAGATGGGGTTACCAGGAAGCAGTCCTTGGAGGATTCTTCAGACTGAAGGACACTCAATGGTCTTAAGGGTAGAAAACTCCTTTTGTGGGGGGTCCTATAATCCATCAATCTCTAATTGTGAGGCCATTGGGGACTGGTGGAAGGACTGATTTTGTATTGTACAGGGTTTTGGGACCTGTGGGAGTCAGGGTGATATCCACCAGGACAGAGTTGACTGTTGGGAGCCACCTGGCCCACAGTTTCTGCTTCCACTGAGAGCTGCCTCAGGCCAGGGACAATTGTAGGTTTCCCTCAGCCATGCCCTGCTTGCTGGGCTTCCCCCAGCTGCCTAGCAGTCTGTGTGTGCACCGGGGCATTTTTCTACATAGAAGGCCTGGGCTATGGGTCTATTACCTGTGTTTCCCTCACACCAGCAAATGTCCTGTGAAGGGGGTGGTTTTGTGTTTTCTTGGTTTGGTGCAGAAAGCACATTTGCTCTCCACTCAAGAAACTGCT